TAATATATATATATTTATATAATTATGCTCAATCCATACCCTATACACATGCATGGCCCGTTCTCTCTCGCTCTTTCTCTCTAAAATATTGCTTGCTATCCTCACATTTCAATTTGCCTATCCTCACTCACACATACACATACACAACTCTAGCTAAGTTTCTTTTGGGTTAGTTGGAGACACCATTAAAAATTATAATACACCTAAAATATTGCTACAACCTCTGCATTGATCAACTGGCTTGGAGAAGTTTTGTCCTTTTGGAATGTCTTTCAAAATAAATTCCTAAAGTTGTCCTGCGAACAATATATAAATATATGTATATATAAATAATAGGTATATTAAAAACATTCATAGTTGCATCAACTTAATTTATCGGTTTTTGTCTAAACTTATTTAGGTACACAATATTAATATCAATATCAGATTGGTTTTCTTGTTTTTTGTTTTCAGAGTAATCTCGTTTAAACTTAGCAAAAAATTAATTAATTATAATGATAACAACAGCAATAAATAACATATATCGTAACGTCTATATATATGGGTGTATATATATATATCTCTCTAGATGATTTCCATCGATGCATAACTAAGCTTGCTTTACTAACTGTCTTTCACTTCTGCTTAACTCATATCTGTCTTTCCGAATCGGTAATTGCCCTACAACTCGTTTCAAGTTGCCTACATTTGTAACTACTGGAAAAAAAGGAATAAACGAAAGAGAAACAAAGAGTATAGAAATTAAACGTAAATGCACAACAACAGTACAACAAAGAACTTTACTCGTCCTCCGCCTCGGTTATGGTCGAGTTCATAATGTGCGTCTCCTTCTTATATAGCAGCTGACGATGATGCTGAGGGAGGCAAGATAGAGAGTTAATTTATAATATATGGGGAATATATATAGAATATATGAGACTTACCTCCTCGTTTTGTATCATTATAATGCGATGCTCAATCTGTGGCGCCAAATCGCAAGTGGACTGCTCGAGATCATCTAACGAGGCACGACGCAGCATCTACAGAAAGTAAAATAAATCACGATTCTCTCTTATATAGATTAATCACTCCATGGAGTCCATACCTTCTGCGAATTGCCATGCGCCAGATCCATCGACTTATTATGATGACCCACAGAGAGTTTACGTATGGGCGACGGACCATCCAGATCTAAACTGTCCAGACATTGCACCAGACTGTGGCGCCGCGATAGCGTCACTAGCGACTGTCGATGCTTGGTGTTCTGACCACATTTGCGCGAATTGATGGCCTTGAAGTGATTTTGCAACGTTATGCCCAGCTCTGGACAGGCATCGTCATCCATCTATCAAAGAGAAATACTATATACTAACTGTCACAATTTCAGCTTTCAGAATCCTGCACTCACCAACACTTTGGCATCCTTGAACATGGTATAGCCATCGCAGCCCATATATAAGTAGCTCTTGACGCACAGCTTGTAGGTCTGCTCCAGATTCAAATACTCATCGCCCACCTGTATCAACTGTGGATCGATGCGCTTGCCAGGCTCCGCTTGTGGATCGAAGGCGAAACTAATGCCAGCCACCTGTGGGAAACGACCCTCAAGCTTCGGATAGGCCGACACGCCGTTCTCAAGCGCCTGCCACAGCATGTGTCCCTTGACCTCCAGCAAGATCAAAGGATCTCGCATGGGTATGACATTGACCAGGTCACCCATTGTAAACTTGCCCACGGGATGTATGCGATCCGAGCGAAAAGTGCCACCATTCAGTATAACCACATCGGCACCCACAGCTGCCAGCACCACATCGCATACCCAGTTGCCCAGATTCGTTTCCTGAGTGCGCACTTTCGAGAAGCGACCATCGAGCTCCACACTGAATATGCCCATAACATCCGATAGCTTGCTCTCTATGAATTCTGTAGAAGAAGAATAACAAATTTAATTATCAATTCATCATCTATACTCTCTCAACTCTCACTTACTGGCATATTTGGCTAATTCCTGTTTGAGCACCGGATCCTCGGGTATCTTGGACGTCACGTCCATGCACTGCACATCCGTTGTGAACTGTGTGCGATCGTTGGCCTGCCGCTCGATGGTTATGACTGAGAACTGTTGGAAATCTGTGCCAGATTTCACAATCATTTTGCCATTAATTTCGGTCACTTCTCGCACGTGATCGTGGCCACCGAGAATGATGTCAATGCCATTGCATTTCTCGGCCAGATTTATGTCGTTGGGCGTGCGCATGTGTGTGAGGGCAATGATCAGATCGCAGCCCTCGTTGCGCAGCTCGCGGGCCAAACGATTTCCAGCCTCCACATAGTCGATATATGTGACCTCGGTGGGATCGATTGTGGGCAACGTTTCGAGCCATTCCCGTTCGACCAGACCAATGAGTCCAATCGAGATTTGATTGTGTAATATAAAATGAGAGATTTTACCACCGCCCAGCGGGCGACCAGTTTCGTTGTCAACCACATTCGACATGAGCCAAGGGAAATCCGTTTGTTTGATCAGCTTAACCAGCACGTCCAGGCCGTGATCTGAATAAAAGAGCATATATTATAAGCATTTGAAGAATTCTTAACTAATCTAAAATAAAATGATTTCCCATTTTCAATGGGTTCAGGGTATAAAAATTAAATTAACATTTCTTATTTAACTTCTCTAAAACTTTAACATGATCTTAACATTCGCACTGTTAAATACCTCTACAGACTCTCAAAGAAACACTCAAACACATTTCAATGGGTTTCAGAGCAAACTCACCAAAATCATGATTGCCAAAGACAGCACAATGTGTGCCCACCTGATTGAGCACAGGTATCATCTGTTCGCCTTGGGTAAAGGTGCTCACTGTGAGTGGAAGATGAAAGGATTGTAATTCGCTGACATTTGATTATGGATTTTGCCCACTACTTACGCATGCTGGGCGAGAAGGCGTCACCGCTGAACAGTACAAGTGGATTGAGATGTGCAAAGCTCTTGATGGCTGTGGCAAAGCGGGCCGCACCACCCACCGGCTCCGTCTCGGCCATCGATTCGATGTTGTAGACATCGTTATAGTGCAGAATGGTCAGTGGCTTGTCCTCGCCCTCCGTCATTTTGAGCAGCTTTTTGGTCTTCTCCAGCTGTGACGATATCGATGTTGAGCGTCCGGTCAGGCCGTTCGGTGTGCCACGCCCACGATGCCTTGGACTCTGTGGCTGACTAACGGACGCGTATGCCCGTGTTCGTGTCAGCAATTTGGTATCGCAGCTATCCTCTGGGTCTTGCAGAATGCCAGTCAGATTTGTGGAGCCGCTCAGTGAGCCCTCGGCACTCGTTGTAGTCGGCACACTGCCCGGCACACTGGCCGACACGGATACTGTGGGCGTCAGCGATAAGTCGAGTGAGCGAAAATTCGGATTTGTGCTCTGCAGCATGGACAGAGTGCGGGTGCCAGCGTCCCGCACCTCAATGGAAGCCTGCAAGATTATAGGGTATCACATACATGAGCAATGAACATGAATCATAGCAACACCCAAAAGACACATGAACAAGGCGAGCACACAACATCGACGGACAACAACATCAAGGAGGGGGGAGAGACAGAGTGAGATACACAGTGAGTTAAAGAGAGACAGAGAGAGAGAGAGAGAGAGAGAGGGCGAGTGAGTGAGTTCAGATTGGAAATATGAACTGCTGCTGGGGTTATAATTGATACATACATAGGCTTTTATTAGGATTAGGTAGCGCGGCAAGAGGGTTGACATGAAATAAGCTCCAAGATCAAATAGCTCCAAATAATAAAAATTAGTTAGCGCCTATGAAAAACAAATGGGAAATACAATCAGAAATAACTAAGTGAATACAAAATAAATACGTTTTACTTATACTTATACTTATACTAATCTTATATAAGTTGGTATGCGTATAAGTATAAGTAATCTGTTATTAAATATTCATTTAGTTAAAAGATAAGTAGAAGCATTGGTATGACAATTGATATAAAATTTGCGAGGCTGCTAGACATTTATTTGGTAAACATAAAAAAAAAAAAAAAAAAAAAAAAAAAAAAAACTCTGGCCAATTCT